AACCCTAAACCCTAAACATCGCCTTCTAAGTTCTAAGTCTAAGCTTATTCAGAATGATTCAAGTATTCAAGTATTTAAGCAGTATTCAGATTCAAGTTTCAATGTCAACCAAGTTTGCCATCATTATGCACTTNNGCACTTGCTCAGTGCTAGTTCCACCACCCTAAACCCAAACCGAACCCTCATCCGTGCCTAAATCCTTGACTAGACTAAAGACTAAAGCTAAAACCCCAGCCCAAACCCCCAACCCTGAACCCTAGACGGTGCCTAAACCTGAAACTCCAAACGCAATCCAAACCCCTGGGCCTAAACCCCAAAATCCCAAAGCGTAAGCCGTGAACGGTGCCTAAACCCCAAACTCCAAACCCACACCGACCCCAAACCCAAACCCTAGCCTAAACCCTAAACCCACTTGCCCAGCGCTAGTAGTTGCACTTCTCCAGTGCCACCCAAAAGCCCTAAAGGTCGCACGTCCCCAGTGCCCAGTGCTATTTGCACGTCCCCATCCACCCTAACCCTCTAAAACCCCAAGCCGAAGCCCCAAACCTTGAACTTCAAACCCTAAACGGCCCTAAACCCTTAACATCGCACTTGCCCAGTGCTAATTGCACTTCTCCAGTGCCACCCTACCTAAACCGAAACCCAAAACCCAAAACCTAAACCCCAAACCCTAACTTCCCCATTGCCAGTTGCACTTTTCCAGTGCCAGTCGTTTGGTAGTTGCACTTCCCCAGTGCCATTGCACTTTCCCAGTGTCAGTTCAGCCGCACTTGCACTGAGTTGAATGCAGTCTGCAACATGAGCAACACGAGTTTCCCCCATTGATGAGCCAACTCCCCTACCGTACATTTCCACAATACTTGCTGCTGCGATCGCTGAGGCGGAGACCATCGATGCCTTCTTCTTTCTCCTGAAGGAGTCGACGCAAGGCAATGAGACGGCCGCCGCTGCCTCCGAGATTCCTTTGCCCGAGTGGCTGGCCTCATTCGGTGAGGAGCCCATGCGGTTGTGCTGCCAGCGGCCATCCTTTCTGCAGGCCTTGAAAAGATTCTGTGAGGTGACCAAAAGGTGTGACTGCAAAATCTTGGGCACAGAAGCTGAGCAAGCAGGCCTCGCGAACGCCAGTGGTGTGGGCAAGCTGATCGCTGATGTCCGGCTGAGTGGCCTTCCGCAGCTCTGGAAGCTCTTGAAGGACAGTTTCCAGGCCAGCTTGATTGAAGGCAGCGACCTCTTCCCGGGGCAGCTGACGGAGGATTTGGACTGGAAAGCGCTTCTTGAGTTCTCAGAGAACACGGGTAAGCTTTTCGAATGCTTGGACCCGGTGGCCCAGACCCTCCAGCTTGCTGAGGAGATGCCCTCCCTGATCCTGGCGTATGACCGCCACGATTTGTTGCGGCACGTATGCCTTGTGATGAGGCTTCTGGGGACAACAGACCTGCACCGCGACACCACCGTCCCGAACGTGCAGGTGGAGGGCTTCACCCGGATCAATGCTGCCGTGGGCCTGCTGATGAGGTCTTATGCCAAGGTCCAGTGGCTGTTAATCAAAAAGATTGAGAATATTGTAGCAGGCTTTGTGGCCATGTTTGTGCAAAGCGCTTTACCTAGCCATTGTGTCGAGAATATGCAACAAAAATCTGCAGGAAAGGATTTAGTAGAATTGGGTGGGGGGGTTGTGTGAGGCCTTGGGATTTTCATTCACGGTCAGGTGTCTGCCCTCGCTGCCGTGCCAGATGCCTTCAAGTCGATGGTGACGGCCTGCCTGAAGGACATCCTGGTGACAAAGATGTTCGAGGCACGAAGGGGTTTTCAGTCAATGACTTCCCCTCCCCGCTTGGTCGGTCATGGGCTGTATGACTGTATGGCTGTATGGCCGTATCAGTGTATGTATGCTAAGGTTTTCAGTCAAGGACTTCCCCTCCCCACTGGCTGTATGGCCTGTATGGCCGTATTAGTGTATGTATGTATGTATGTATGGATGGAGTTCCCTGCTCTCTAAACCCTAAACCCTAAACCTTCACTGATCAAAATTATGTCCGCGTGGACAGGGTTTCATATGCGCAGGCAAACTAGGAATCCAATTTGAGATTGCCAGTGTCAGCTGCCACAGCACGACGAGGGACCAACATGCTTCATGCAGAATCTCTCTGTGGCCGGTTGTTTGTACTGCTTTGTTTTCAGTGCCAGGCCGTTGACCACATCTCTGGCAATATCCAGGATGCGCACAGGGCCATACCGGGCTCCTGGCTGGGATTCCTTGAGGCGCGGAACATCCAGGAAGTGAAGAAGACAATGTTCAAGAAGTCCGTGCACGAGGAGGTCAGCAGCCACGTCGAAGCGTACAGAAGCTTTGCAGGGCTACTGGGTGAATCTGCAAGGGCTTGGGCTGCGCACGGCCTCGTGACTGCGCAGCAGCTGGAGACTGTGAAGGAGATCGAGCAGTGGGCAAAGGACATCAAAGTCTACTGCAACTTGTCACAGATTTCTCGCGCTAGTTTTCTGATGTTGCCTCATGCCATGTCATATTGCCATGCAACCAGTAATTACGGATTGGCAAGGCTCGTGTGTGCACGGCGTGAACATCATCATCCACAAGATGCCCACCAAGCAGAACGCCCGCGAGCGGTCTGCTCTGTCACGGGAGTGGCCCGGCAGCACTTGGGAGGCCAGTCCGAACATGTTGGCCCATAGCCTATGGAACAAGGGAGTTGATTGATACCCTACTGTATGGATCGGCTTTACATACCAAATCATTTCAGGAGACACCCGCCTGATTCCCAGC